ATCGCAATATTGGGGCAAAAAATCGCAATTAAATTATTTTCCATAATCGTTCAGCCCTAATTGTAATGAAGGTTTTAATCTGTGAAGTTGGACTTTACGGTTTACGGTCAGAGCAGCGAGAAAGCAGATTTCAGCCTGAATATATGACAACAGACCTGATTTTGACACATCGACGTTGTTTCTGTGGAGCTTCTTTGGTGTTGCATTATTCAACTTCATTCGAGCGCTGAGGTGATGAAGCAGGGTGAGGATGAGGGGGGCAGTGTTGGTGAAACGTCAGTTTACTGTCCCATTCTTTCATTTGTCATATGGAAAAAAAACATTTTCAAAATGTGTTTCCCTGCTGCTCAACGAAGGCAGCGAGTTTCAGTTTCCTGCATGAATTCTGAAAGAGGCCAAAACACATTTAGCAGAAACACTGGACACAAACCGCTGCGCTGGTGGAAGGATGAAAGATGTCTGTTTGCTGTTTGGAGTTTTGGTGGTTTCAGTAATTCAGTGTTGTTATTATATTGAATTACTCGCTTTCAGTCTTTGGTTGAAGTTCACTATGATAACCTTAGTTTGAAGCTGTTTAACGGTTTTCTCAGTGAACCTGCTGAACTCTGAGCGAGGCGTTCGGTCCTCGTTCGCCCTCGTTGTTTCCCGTTGGCGCGTCTGTTGCGTTGCCAGCTTTGCTTCAGCGTTGAACTCGCTCTGTTTGTTTTCCCGCAGCAATCGAGCAGAGCATCGAGCAGGAGGAGGGGCTCAACAGATCATCAGCGGACCTCAGGATCCGTAAGACGCAGGTGAGCCGTGCTTTTGTCAGGAGAGCAGATGTGACGTGGAACATCTGACCTCTGAAACAAGCCACGTGTACGGGGTCGTTTCAGCTGCATGACAATAAATTCATACCTTTCAAGTGAAACCTCATACGCTCGTTTTGACATCACCGTTTCAAACAGGCCAGAAAGCCCTCCTCCTGACCCCTGACCCCTGCTGGATGTTAGGAGGCTATTTTGTGTTTAATTGCCCTTCCAGCTGAAATGTTAACAGCGCCTTCATGCAAGCGGTGACCCTTGACCCCGTGCTGTCACCCACTCAGGGATCCTCCCTTCCTGCTGTACCTTCCTTTCTTCTTTCTGTTCTAACGCCCTACTGAGCGTGTGCGCCTCCTCACAGGAACCATGTGACTCGGTGCTATTTGTGTTCTCCAGGCGCCCTCTCGCCTCCGCAGCTCGTCTCGTGATTTGTCTGTAATTTGACCCTGCAGTATTCTGCTTTGTCATTGGCTCCTGGCTCCCCCACTCCTCTCCAGCAGTCTGCTCCCTGCTGCCTCCTGGTGGCAGAGAAAAAGAACTGCAACACCACTGACAGCAGTGTGCGTGCTTTATGTCTGAACGCACACACACACATGATCTGATGAGACAAAGCTTTTGATGCATTTTAAGCTTTTCAAAGCTGTTTTATTGTCATCTTATAGTTTTGTCTAAATGTGTGACACACAGGTGTAGATTTCAGGGTGGAGGCCGAACGAACCACAAAACTGCAGAGATGTTTTTTATGAATGCAGACGTGGATGAATTTATGGCTCCAGGTAAAAGTGTTCTGTGTTCCTGCAGCACTCGACATTGTCACGCAAGTTCGTGGAGGTGATGACTGAGTACAACACCACGCAGTCCAAGTACCGCGACCGCTGCAAGGACCGCATCCAGAGACAGCTGGAGATCAGTGAGTACACAACACGCCAGCAACACGCAGTCTTACTGTATGTCAGCACCATGGTTGTTCAGAGGTCAGAGGTCATCTCTCAACCTGAAGGCTCGAAGGTCTTGATGACTCTGAACTGGCTGTAGGTGAGATAAAGCTTTGAGTGGTCAGCGAGACTAGAAAGGCAGCACAAACCTGTGGATGGAAGATAATGACAATCTAAACATCAGAGCTGCTGCTGTTTGAACCCACATCTGTCCGTGTGGGGCTGGCTCACCGCTGCCTCTGCTGGACGTCACAGGAACTGCAGCTGTTGGTGTTTCAGTCAGTTTGATGGCTGTAAATAATAAATGAGGTCAACACAGTGTGTAGATAAACATCACAGGACAACACACACACAGGGACACACACACTGATACAGACAGATAAACAGTACAGACTGCAGAGGCCGCGTGCAGCTACTTTCCTCTCAGCAGCATCAGCTGACCTTCACACAGCTGCCAGACTTACCCTGTGTGGCCAAAAGTTTGTGGACACATGGCCACTGTGAAAACATGGAACATTTTAACGTTTTCATCATGAGCCAAAACTCTGGCCTTGATTATTTTTTAATTCTACGTAAGTTTAGTCTCTCGGCTGTGGGTTTATACCAAGCACATGACCAAAGAGCTTGTATTAGTTATGTTCATACAGATTTCCTGTTGGATCGTGTTCAGGCGTGTAAGATAACGTGTCCAAGAACAGCGTCCCAGCTTTACTGTTTAACATCGGGCTGGATTCAGTTTAACTCTCAAGTGACTGAGTGCCATCAGCTGTTCGATTATGCGTCTCTGTTGGTGTGTTTAGCAAAACCTCATTTTCTGTCAGCTTCTTTTCCTGATTCGTCGTTTTCTCGCTGCGATGCTGTGCGACTCTAACTGTGTTGCTCTGTGTTCTCTCTCTGCAGCTGGAAGAACCACTACCAACGAGGAGCTCGAGGACATGTTGGAGAGTGGCAAGCTGGCCATCTTCACTGATGATGTAAGCAACGCACCTGAGCCCACCCGGCTTACGTTACCTGTGCCGTTCTGCATCCCGGCAAGTGTCTGGGATGCAGAACGGCCACGAGGTGCGCTGAGACATCAAGCGAACACGGCCACTGTCACATGACAGAAAGGGGACGGAGGGGGAGGGGTAAGATGGGAGCTGCAGAGGTTTTTAATTTGAAGGAGTTGTGTCATGCTATTCCTGCTCCTTCAAATTAAAAGCTCCCATGTTTGCTGGTGACTGTAACTGAACACTGAGCTGCCAATCAGCACTGAGCTCGTCTGGTTGTGACGTCACAGTATAGTGACTGGGACACCAGAGGAGCTCAGGAAGAAACAGACTGACAGCAGTTGTTCGGTTACAGCAAAAAGGTAAGTCATTCTGAAAGGACTGGAGGTCAGAGGTCACAGCTGTATCCAGCATGTGCTGTTAGAAGGTTTAACTGCTAAAATCTTTCATTTAGTATGAATTAAATCGAAAGATTTAAACTGCTTTCACCCTCCCAAGGTACTTCAGCTCTGCTTTCTATTTAACTGCAAGTTGACATACTTCAGTACAGCTCAAAAATTTCAAATTAAAAGCCTTTCAGGAATTCAGCAGGCACAGACTTTAGCACTGAAAAGGTTTAATTTGAATCAAAGTTTAGAGTTTCCCTCAAGAAGAACCAAAAGAGAGTCTAAAAATATTTCACATAGTTTCACTTTTTCCACAATAACACCATCTGAAAGGAAGATCCTATTAGTTTTACTTATCCATCGAAAAGCAGCTGAAAAATACTTTATGCTCAACTTTTTCACAAAAAATGGTTGATATGATTTTAATTTGAAAGATTGATTTGAAATATTGTCAAGAGATTTTTAATTGTATTGAAATTAATATAAAATGTAATTTTAATTTAATTTAATCAAAAACATTTATGCATTTTTTTCTAAATAGAACCAGTTTAATAACTTCTATAAATGAAAACATGAGAAGAGTAGAAGATCTTCGATTCTTGACTTCATTTGTACGACAATAAATATGGAGAGAAAATTAAAAACAAACAAAAGAACAAGCAAATCAGAGTGGTGGAAAAAATCACAATTACTCCATCGCTGCTCAGAGTTGTGACCTGTGTGAACCTGCCTCGCAGATCAAAATGGACTCTCAGATGACGAAGCAGGCCCTGAACGAGATCGAGACCCGGCACACTGAGATCATCAAGCTGGAAAACAGCATCCGTGAGCTGCACGACATGTTCGTCGACATGGCCATGCTGGTCGAGAGCCAGGTGCGTCCCGTGATGCAACAGGAAATTCATGCAGCCCGTCAAAGGGCTGCCATGGGGCGGTTCGAGTTAAATTCTGCCTCCCGTGTGTTTTTTTAGGGCGAGATGATTGACAGAATCGAGTACAACGTGGAGCACTCCGTCGACTACGTGGAGCGAGCTGTCTCCGACACCAAGAAGGCCGTCAAATACCAGAGCCAGGCTCGCAAGGTAAGGAATCCCGGATGAGCCCCCATTTGTGTTATGAGCGAGATGATGTGTAATTTTGTGCGCTCAGAGTTGCCCCCTGCTGGACGCTACATCCAGGTGTTAAGACTTTGGACATCTTTAACCACCGCTCTGTTTTCTGTCGTCGCCCCGCAGAAGAAGATCATGATCATCATCTGCTGTGTCATCCTCGGCGTGGTCCTGGCGTCGTCCATCGGTGGCACGCTGGGCATGTAACGCGCTCCGCCACCTGCTGCCGTGACGACCGAACACCGACTGACCGACCGTCCGACCGACAGCCAGCAGAGAAAAGAAACACCAACGACGACACAAAAACTTGAAACACAAATGCAAGACAGATAACCAATCAGCTAGGAAGAGATAACGACCCAATCACAGATAAGAGGAAACACCACGGGTTCGGGTGGGGTTCAAAAAACAAGAAAAAACCACGAGAAAACACCATGACATCATAGCTGACTGACACTACATATACAAAAGAGGGTACAGATAAACCTATTTATTACAGATGTACATGTAAATGTATTGAACATGAAGCAACACGTGGGTTAGCTACCTGTAAAAACTGATGACCTATAATATGGCATTTACTTGTTTGTTTGCTTGTTTTGCCTCTTTTCTTATTTTTTAAAAGTTTCTTTCGTTTTTCCGGAGTCTCCGAGGACAGTGACGGCGACGGCTGCCGGGTGGGAGTTCTGCCCGTCGAGGCTCCGGAGCTTAGCGCCTTTGGGAACGAGCTCAGATAACAAAATAAAAGGCCAAAAAAAAAGAGAGAGAACATGTTTCTATCACATTCTGGAACCCTGGAGCGTTCCCGAGCTGCGCCCTGGAATACTTTCTGTTCCAGAGCGCAGACGGGAACAAGCAGCCGAAGGTTCCGGAATGTCAGCCTGCAGAACGAGCACCCTCCGGCTTTGGCAGAACACGCTCCGCCCCCTTGTTGCTAGGAGGGGTTTCACCGCTGCCTCTTTAGACCACCTCTCATTGGTTGCTCACTCCTGGCGTTCACCTCAGTCAGCCAATGAAATTAGCTTAACCTGGCAAAGCCCGGCCTGCCACACGTTATTTAGGACGCATCAAGGACGTTGACCGTGACACGCTTCCCTCTGAGTTCGGGGGAGGGAGGAGTGTCCGCGGCAAGAACCTCCCCTTTTCGTCACACCTATCCAACCAAAGAGCCGGGGAGGGCCTCTGGTTGTCAGGCTGAATTTGATTGGCCGGCGGCAGAAAAGACCGTGACGTTTGACTGACAGGTGAACGATGGGGAAGGAGGGTTCGGACGAGCAAGAGTCAGTCTATGCAGTTTAGAAAACCACGCCTCCCCGTCACTGGGACAGCCAATGAGGATTGGGCATTTCGGTGATCTGATCAGGTCCGCGGTCGTCATCTCAAAGCTGTCACAGCTGTTCTTCCGGAAGATCCTAAAAAATGAAGAGAACGCATTAAAAAGTAAAGAAGAAAAACAAATGTAACTACAACACTAAGAAGCGCTGGTTGCCCTGGTTACCTGAGTGTCGCGGTGATATCGTTGCTTTCCCGTTTCTTGATGGGGAACGTTTGTTGCTTCGTTGTTTCCGTGGTGCTGCTGTTTTGGTGCGTGTGACGCGTCCCGTGACGTATCGGCCTGACACGATTTAGCTGTTAATGTTTAGTCTGTACGTTTTAAAGCATTCGCCCAGATCCTACCTGCAGCCCCGAGTGTGCGTGCGTGTGTGTGTGCGATTTTTCATCCACGCTGTGTGAGCGCATGAGTCGCACAGGTGCTACTGACCAGCAGAAGGTGTTCCTATTGGTGGATTTTCTCTGTGGAAGGTGGAACATGTGACACGCATACATTCATATAAATTCCCAACATATGCTGCATTCAATTGCAACCGGGAACTTGGAATTTCCAGTTTCATTAACCTGGGAAGTTTCTGATTAATATGATGTTGTTCATGAGTTCAAATCAGTTCTGAACGCCTTCGTCTGCTTTTGCGTTCTCTGTGGAAAAGCAGTAAAGCAAACCTGCGGGAACGTTGACGGCTCGGATGTCATTCCCAGTGCTGATTTCCAAATTCCGCGGTACATTAAATGCAGCAGCAGCTCATGCATGAACTCCATGTTTAACTTTTCATGCAGACACACTGGACACTCGCCCCTAACTCGCGAATTCCCCGTGTTACATATCGAACCAGTGACTGCGTCGCTTATAGCATGCTGTAGCGTTAGCTTGTGTTTCGTGTAGATTATGTAGAAGCTGCTCGTTACAGATGGGTCATCAGTTTTCTTCCTTTTTTAAACATTAAAGACGTTTCTGTCCAGACTGGCATCAGGACAAAGGCGGCTGAAAATGTGGAGTAGAATTTGTTGCATTAGCGGTTAGCTGAACGTCTGCAGGACTGTCACTCCTTACAGCGACTGCTGATTAAAATAGAAATGTGACGCAGCAAACAGCCTATCTCAGGACTGCGTGCTGTGTTGAAGATCGCGCCACCGCCTGCGCTAACATGTAGGACCGCGGCGTTGAAGAGGAAGGGTCGTCTACGCTCAGGCTCTGTGATACGGAGGTTCATCTGCTTCTGTTGAGGCCTCGCTGGACGACCAAATGCCACCTTAAAACCTCACGGTCCCCTCCTGCTCAGCGCTCACGATTAGTTTTGTTTGACGGCGTCTTCTCTGGTTTCACCTGTTCTGCTCTGGATCTTTTAGCTGGACCCTGATCGGGTTTCCGACGTCCCTGACTTATAGTTTTTGTTTCATGTTTCCTGAGAAATGTATTATTTGAAGCTTTTCAGAGACAGGGCTTTAAAAAACAGAACACGCCGCCTTTCATAACAAGTCAAAGCTGTTTTTTGCTTCCTTGCTCTGTAGAGACCTGCCGACAGGAGGCTGACATTAGCTTTCGTTTGACAGTCGTGTGTCCTCCTCAGCCAGCTCGAGCGTTGGAAAGCGGATGTTGTTTTGTGGAAAACGTGTTTTCTTACCCATCACAGTAGCTAGCATTAGCTTTAGATGTCTGTGGTGCCGTGTAGACGATTGTTAGGTTTTGTTTCATTCTTGGCTTCCCAAAACCAAAACATAACGCGCGTTCACCAAAGCTTCGCAGACACCGTCCCCGCCCTGACTCCTCCAAAGAGCCCAGCAGATGTGTGGTCATGTGCCGTGTCTGTAGATGTAGGTCGATCTCGCACTTTTCTCTCTGCCCATTCGTTCCATTCTGGTTTTAGGTGTTTTCACATGTAGAGCTGTCAATTCAATATGAACCAGTGTGCTTGTTTTACCTGCGTTTACATGTCTCACGACTCCCTCGGACATTTAGAGAACCTAAACCCACGTCCCCATTGGCTGCTTCGTTCATCGTTCTTTGTTCGTTCGAGCGGTTGACGGTTGTCCAGGCGGCGTCGCAGTCGTCGCGGCAGTCTCGGGTTGGTGATTGTGGTGGATGCGAGGATGCCGTCATAGCACCAGCCAGCTTGTTGACACTGATTTTGCCATGTGTGAGTGTTTGTTTTCTGTAAAGTTCCCGCTCCTGCGTGGCGGTCACTTGTCGGGTCCCGCCGCCATCCTCTCGAAAACATGGACAAAACCTCACGAAACCCACGCAGGCAACAGTTGGAGATTCGGCTAAGTGAAGGTTCAAATGGTCGTCGGCACGTCTGCCCGCCCCGTCCTCTCGTCTCTTCCTGTCGTGCTGTAGATGTTTGGTTGTACAAAAAGATGGCGCAGAGGGTCGGAGTCTGCCCCCTCCCTTGGCCCTGCAGACCCCGCCCATCCCACTGTGTGTACTACTTATAATAATGGTAATAAAAAAGGCATGCAAAAGCGTTGTGGAGTTTGCATGATGGTGTTTTTTGTACCCCACCTCCCCGCCTCACCCTTCACGTCGTGCACTTTACCGCCAATCAGACCCCGTTTGGTTTCTATGGAAACACTTCACAGTTACTTTCGTTTGTGACGCGTCATTTTTACGAAGTTTTCTTCAGAGACCGGTGTGATGTTTAAATAAATGTGAAAGGTTAAATTCCCATCCCACGAACTCCAGCCCTCCCGCCGGGTTCGGACGCCTCCGTCACCTCCCGATGTCTGCGTGTTCGCTTCCACTGTTGCATTTGTGTGTGTGCGTGTGCGTGTTGAAGCAGCACGAGTGTGTTTCAGTGTGCGAAGCGTCCAATCGCAGGTGGGCGGGTTGCAGCAGGTTTCAAAATTCCACTTTTTTTTTTTTTTAGATTGCGACAGAAGCGAGGAGAGAAGCTTGCAGACGCCATGATCACTGTTACCGCCGTGGCGTTGATTCGATTCAGACCAAAGCATTTCCGCCCTCCCCTCCAAATGTTCGCCGCTAATCTCAAAGAGCACAACGCGAGTCGAGTTTACAAACAGAGAATAAATATACAAATAGAAAAGCCCCACCCCCTCCACTGCCATCAATCAGACCGACCCGCCTCTCTCCCTCCACCTTCAGAGTCCGAACTGAAAACATGACGCATCCGTGAAGTGAGTCCCAGTTGGTTTGCGTCTTCACGCTGCAGGATCAACGCTCCTCTGCAGGGTTACAGGCCACGCCCCCCACATACCTCCGAACAGCCGGAGAGAGAAAGTTAAACATCAGCAGATTTGGTCAAAGGTTGATCTCTGATCCTCCAGCGAGCATTCTTCCTGTGCGAGAGGCCGACTGCAGTCGTGTGACATCACATGTGTACGCAACAAAAATACAAACAAACATAAATCTGAGTCACATCTGGATGTTCGCCGCCATTCAGCCTTTCTGTTATTTCCATTTCTGACAGAGCGGGCGCACAACGCTGGAAAAAATCACGTGAAGAGAGTTTGAGCGCGACACGCAAGACGCCAAAGCCTGACTCGCCGTTAGCCGTTAGCCCGTGTGGGAGTAATGCGGTGTGGGCCGACCCTGACTCAGGGGTCGCGTTCCAGCGCTCTGCGGTTATTTCTGCACGCTGACTCGTGAGCACAGTGGCGTCTGTCTTTGCCGCTTCGTCGCTCCTCCGCTGTGGCGCAGTTAAGCCGCCTCCACGCTGATTTTTGTCTTCCTGAAACTATTGTGAAAAACCAAAACGTGCTCGGCGCCCCGCTCTGGGTGATGACATCACAAACATGTTCAGTGTTCTTTATTTGGCGCTCGCGCTCGTCCCGTTGCTCTCCGACAGTATTCACTTTAAACAGTGTTTATGTTCTCTAGTGGGAGGGGTGGGAGGGGTTAGGGGAGGGGACATAGAGACAGACCACGCCCATAACCACCCCTGCCATAACAAGTAGGAAAGACACTGAAATAACATCGTTATCCTCATTACTACTGTTGTTATCACTATGATTATTACCAAACAGACAAATAAAGATGCAGTAAACATTTGCAAAAACCCGGAGGGAGACCGAACGGCTTCACACAACGTGATCGAATCAACTTTAAAAATGGAGGTGATGACGATTCTATAATAGCAATGATTTAAAGAAGTACAAAGGAGTTATGTTATCATAATAATAGTAGTCATATTGAATATTGAATGCTCGCAATTTTGTCAAACTGAAACTGGATTCTTTGTGTTATGTAATTATTGTAAATAACTTCAAAGAGAGAAAAAATGACTTGCATGTCTATGTATAAATCTACTGAGATATCTATTCCCGTCAAAGTCTGCACGTAGGCCGGCCTCTGGCCTCTTTCGCCTCTTTCGCCCGCCCTTGCTGTGGCGCCCCCTCTGTTTGTACCGTGCAGCTGAGTTGCGACAGCAGAGACTAGGAGAAACTTGGCTTCCTATTGTCGCGTCTGCA